CAGGTTGTGAAGCAAGCAGAACTCTGCTTGCTGTGATCAGCCGTTTAGAGGTCAGCAGCATCAGCAGGGGGTGAAAGAATGGGAGGAAAGAGAGACAGGTTAACTTGGGGAAACACCAGTTGTTATCTAAGGTACTGCCAATTTCCAGGGCTGGGAGTAGATCAGCATCCTCTCTGGTGCCTGCCTGTCCATGTACTGTAGGGTTCTTTTACATACCTGCACACCAAGGAAACAGAAACTGCGGATGTAAGAAGAGCCAGCATCTTAAAATATTTAGCATGTTCCTGGAACAAACTTGGTCACTCACTGCAATGGAGCTCATTCGGGGGGCGTCTGTATATGTTTGCACATGTCTATAATTTTGCCTATAAAACTGTAACAACAATAACTCTCAGCAGTCATGTAGTGCTTTACATCTTCTACTAAGCCCCAACACTCCTGGGAGGTAATTGAGGCAGTCCTGTTCTCCCTATTTTACAGATGGAGAAACTGAGGCACAGAGAGGATTAGGCCTACATTTTCACTAATTTTGGGTGCCCCGTCTGAGCCACTTCATTTCAAGAGTTCATGGGCCCATGCTCAATGTGTGTGTGTGTGTGTGTGCAACAATTATGTCTTACCTATGGTGCACTGGTGTTTTGGGGAGCAAAGCATGGGACTGAATTTGTACCGAACTAAAAGCAAGCCTCAGATTCCGACTTCTTTGGTTTATACTTTTATTGTTGGGAAATGACCTTGTGCAACCTAATAGCCAATGACCTATTGCCTCACAATGGGGGTTGATCCCTGGCAAAATAACCCCAGCAGCAATTAATTATGGTTAGCTCACGTGCTGGACTTAATGATGCTTTCAAGTTGAAAGCAGTAACATCATGAGCGTTTAGCACACTGCCCAGAACAGAAGAGCCTGGCATGGAATTCTACAGCGACTGCATTTGGGATGCAGAGGCCTGAATGTGGGCTGGGGGGAGCGTAGGTATTTAGGATAAAGTTTTCAAAGGCACCAAAGTGTTTTAGGCTCCTAAGTGCCCAAGACAATTTTGAAAATAGGGCCTAAGTCTCCTTGTAGGTTGATGGGACTTGGACTAGTGCCTAAATATCTCTGAGGATCTGGGCCCACGTGCGTAAGTTACTTTTGAAAATAGGACTTCAGTGCTTTGAAATGTGCCTATAGTGAGATCTCAGACTCAGCTCTGGTCCACCACGCTCAAGCTCAGCCAGTTTGTCAAGAGTCCTTCAGTCTTGGCTCAATTAGCTAAGCCCTCCTCACACTGCAACAAGGACCAGCGACATGGAATTGTGCCATGGGCAGTGGGTATCGCAGGCCAGGGGAAGCTGAGTCTCACCAAACAGCCAGGCATGGCCCTGCCCATGCTCCGCCCCGAGGACCCCTATTGCTTCTCGCTCTTCCCCCACAGCCCCAGCCCAGGCTGCTCCTCTTCCCCAAAGGGGGCTAGGGCTGGGGGTGGGTCTATGGCGGGCCAGCCTGCGGCCCGGGTCCTAGGGCAGCTAGGGCCGGTGCTGGGGCCACCTGGTGCTGGGGCCACCCACCCAGGGCTGGGAGTGCTGAGGCATCCCAGCAGGTGCTCCAGGGCTGGGGGCTCTGCGGCTGTGGTGCCCAGCACTCCAGGGGTGGGGGCATTGCTAATCTAAAGCAACTCCACTGGATAGCTAAAGTGGAAAGACTACTTAGGGTGTCACGCCCGAAAGAGCGTCCTGGAAATGGTAGGCATTTTTTCACTGGAAAACTGATGCCAAAATTCCAGGGGTTCTGAAAGGACCTGCACAAATTGTACTGAACGACATCTTCCTTGTGAGGATTGCATCCAGGACAGTTAAAGCAGCAGCATCTTGTTCTCCTGGGGAAACGGCCTGAAAGCAATTGACTTGTACAACGGTCAGGGTTGCAATTCCGCCCCCTGCATGATGTTGCTAAGGGCGGACCAGTCTCTGTCGGGGAGCAAGAGTTCTGTCTTCTGAGGCTGCCTGGGAATGGAGATGATTTAATAAAGGCAGAGTAATGGCTTGAAGCACACGGTGCATCCAGTGATTTAGGGCCCGTTCAGTGAGAGGGAGGCTGTAACACCCTGCAGGAGCTTGCTGTTAAATGAGTGTTGTCCCCAGCAGCCGGTCCTGGGAGGTCCCATTTTCAATTCCTCCCTTGAGCACCCGTCTGAACCGGAGTGCAGCTCTCCTGCAGAGAGACGTGTGTCACGCTGGCTAGGCACGTAGCAGCAACCTAGAGGATAACTGACCCAGAGAGTCCCAGTGTCAGAGGGCCCAGCACCCCATAACTCTCATCAGGCCTGGCCCACTCGTTGCCCAACTCGCTGTTGTCATCATCTGAATCGAAAAGGTATCATATGATGTGTCGAAGGCCGACTGGTAACGTGCTGGCCATTCATACTATTGTGTGATGTGCGTCTGAGCGGCGCATAACGAATTAGAGAGAGGGGCCGGCGATCCCTTCCTCAGATGTGGTTGGCAGACAGGGCTTAAGCCCAAGGAATGTGGTTTCACAGGTTCTGTGTCTCCAATGTAAACTAAGCCAGGGGGAACCTGAGACAATGCAAAGCACATTTGCATGCAAGGTAAAGAAAGCCGTCAGGTGAGCAAGTTGGGGGGAAATGACCATGGAGCACCCGCAACGAGGGATGGAGGTGGCACCCCCCCAGGAACAACTGGGGTTTGTGTTGGAGGAAAACTAGCAACTGTCCAATGTTCCCTCTAATTTTTCCATCCATGTGCGGAATGAGTTTTGTTATCTGCACCAAGATGGAGGTGATGTGTGGTGGGGTGGGGCTGAGGGGTTCGGAGTGTGGGAGGGGGCTCAGGGCTGGGGCAGAGGGTTGAGGTGCAGGGGGTGAGGGCTCTGGCTGGGGGTTCAGGCTCTGGGGTGGGGCCAGGCATGAGGGGTTCAGGGTGCGGGAGGGGGCTCAGGCTGGGGCAGAGGGATTGGGTGTGTTGGGGGGGGGTGAGGCCTCTGGCTGGGGGTGCGGGCTCTGAGGTGGACCCAGGGATGAGGGGTATGGGGTGCAGGCTACCCCGGGGCTACAGCGGAGAGAGAGGACTCCCCCCAGCTCTCTCTCCTCACAGCAGCACCTGGGCTGGGGGAGAGCGTCTCTCCCCGCCACGGCTTCTCCGGGGTTGGAGCCAGGGGAGAGCGCCTCTCCCCCGCCGCAGCCCCAGAGCTGGGAGGAAGAGGCTTGGGGGAGTTAAATGCACGGCCCTTGGTGGCCTCCTGCACAGCCACGCACCTGAGAGGGAACTTAGGTGGTGACTAGTAAAAAGCAAAGCAACAATTGAACTTTGGGAAGATACAAGCAGAGACAAAAGCCATTTTGTCATCCATGACTGAGGGGACATGATGGGTGCGGCACCCTTCGAGCCAGTCAGAATTGGGACCCCTAGTCTGGAGGACCAGGGATGCTGAGAACATGAGGTAGGTGAGGAAACTGGGGAGGCAAAGACTGTAACTTGCGAGGTTTTACTCGCCAGGAAGTGTGTTCTGTTTGTAACCTTCCCGGTCTCTTTCACTCGTTCTCGTCATCGCTTTCGCCTCCGTTCTTTGTTAATACACTTATTTTTGTTTTATTACAAAACCAGCTCAGTGCTGTATCTTAGTGTGAGTCCTCAGCCAAACTAACAGGCTGGGGTGGGCTCTGTCTCTTTGAAGACAGCGAACTTGAGAACTGTTGTGTGGGTCCAGGCAGAGGGACTGGACTCTGCAGGGGAGATGGTTTGGGGGCGACTCTGGACTGGAAGGTTTGTTGGGGTCACTCTGCCAGGAGTAACCGTGCTGGGAGAAGCCACAGTGAGGTTATAGTGCTGCTTAGGTCAGGGCTTTGACACAAAGGAGCACAGCACAGAGGTACCCAGGCCTACAGGGAGGCTGGCAACACAACCCCTTACTGGTGTGGGTGAACCCCCAAAGTGTCACAGTAATAGCTTACTACTGCTATCAGCTGATGGAGCTCATACTGTGGTTCAAGTGGCAGAGAACTGTGCTTTGCACTTGAAGGTCTTGAGTGAAATCCAGTTGATAATCCATGCTGTGCGTCGATAAGGTGCAAATACACTCGAGGCAAGTTAGTAATTAATAAATTAGCTCTTACCAACAATTTACAACATCCAAAATTCAACATGGAAGAATACATGGGAAACAGGAGACATTTGGAGAAAGCCCTGGATGCTTTCCAGTTGAAATGCCCACATTCTGACTGCACGGTCATGTACTGTGTTGCCCTAAGCAGCCTTTCTGCAACACCAAGCCAGAAACAGTGCAAACTCTTAATGAGATTTGATGACAGTTAAAAATCACTGCCCTGCCAGGGAAGTTAGGGGGAAAGACTTTCCTCCTTGGCTATCCAGATATATAGTTTAAAAATAATACTTTGCATGACCATTGGGCTTTTCAGCCCTGGATCTCAAAGCCCCATATGAAGGAGGGGAAGTATTTTACAGATGGGCGCAGAGAGAGGAAGTGACTTGCCTATGATCAAACAGCAGGTCACTTGTAGAGCTGGGAATAAGAGACCTGGCTCCCTAGTTCGGCCTCCCTAATAGATGACTATAATACTGGAACATTAGTAGGTTTTGAAACTGATACAGGGGTAGGCATTGTTGTGGGGGAGAGGAGACCAGGCTTATGGCTAAAACACCAAGCTCTGAAGCAGGATCCGCTGTAGGTGGTGAGTTTGTGGTGGATATTAAAATGCAGAAGAATAATGGAGCCGTGCAGCTGTGCATTATGTACTGCTATGTATGTGTAGCTGTGATTAGCATGCACCTCTAAAGAGCACCTGAGCTCAACGTGTGTTAGAAGAATGAAGGAATGGCATGCTAGATAGAGCTTCTAGCTTAGGGTCTAGGGCTTCCAACTTAGGGTCTAGGGCTTCCTTGGATGGTGTTCTCTTTATTTACAAAACTTCTTAGATTGCCAGATTCCAGGAGCCCTTATCCAGAGTTTGTTAGAATCAACTTGGTCCCATGTTCCCTCGTTAGTGCTGAGCAGCGGGTTGGGGCTTCACCTCCTCTGCTCAGGGGATCATGTTCCACCACTTGAAGGAGAAGGGTTTCCTGCGGACGTTGGTGCCGCAATGGATCTCCCCGAAGAGGGTGTGGTAGGAGAAAAAGTCATTGATGAAGGTGCAGGTCAGGCCCAGTGGCTCCAGCAGGGAGCGAACGTTCTCCTCCAGGCAGCACCGTCCATCGACGATTGGCCCAAACGGCTTCGGGATGCCCAGGTGTTTCCCCAAGACGATCATGTTCACCTGCAGCCAGGAGAAAAGGGACAGATGGACTGTGGAACATACAACAGCCAGACGTGGTCCCAAACAGGGCATCTCCTCAGTGGTCTACGTGTAACCCCGGCTTGTGTCCTATCCTCTTAGCTAGAGCTGGTCTCAATTATTCGACCAAAACTTTTTTTAAACTAAAAAATGTAGTTTCAGTGACACTGAAATGTTTTATGGATTTGTGTTGATTTCACAGAATTGTTCGTTTTTTTAAAAAAAAATCTTAAATTCCCCCCCAAATCAAATTTTCATTTTGCCTTTTTCCCCATGGAAATTTTTCCATTTTTCATTGTGAAACAACCCTTTGCTTTGAAATTTCCTTTCCTTTTATTTTTAAGTTGTTTTTCAAAAATTAAAAAATGATCCAAATCAAAATGAAACGTTTCGAGTAGAACAAAATGTTTCCTTCAACCCCTCAACCATAGTTGTTTACTCTTTGCTGAAAACGTCAATAATTTTCTTTTTGGTCTGACCCAAAAAGATTTTCCCCCTGACTTTTGTAAATCACCACAGAACTGAAAAATCTGTCATTTGCTCAGTTCTGCTTTCAACCTTCCTGCATTTAGCAGGGAGGTTTCGCTTCCTGTCTGAGACCCATTCTCTGACGGCATGGGAGCTGAATGAGTTCCAGGAGGTCACCAGGGGGAAGGAGAAAGGCAGGGAAGAGAGGGACATTATGGAAGATAAGGACTGAGTGCTTGGCAGGGGGAAGCAAAGTGGGGAATAGGAGCCTGTTGGGCAATGCAGAGGATGGGACAGAAATGAGAAGCAACTGCATGAGCAGGATGGTCCCCTCACCATGTCTGGGAAGAAAGCGTCCGCTCGAGAACTGTTCAACACGAACAGCTGAGGGATGTCAATGATGTCTTGCTCAGTCAGTCCCAGCTCCTCCTTGAGGGCATGTCGATTCCAGTCAATGCAGCTCTGGGGGAAGAAAGGATTGGCGAGGAGGGAGGTGACTACGGGCCAGTTGGGACGAGTGGAGCGAAGGCGCTGTATTTCTGCTGCTAGTGATTTGCAGCGACAAACGCGCAGGTAATTCTGTATGAGGAGGAGTTTTATTGGGATAAGTTAATTTCCCAGGGCAAAGATTCTACCCCTTCTAGATGTTGTCAGGAATCACTGTACAGTCCATCCCTATTCTCAGCTTGAAGCAACTGGACACAACATAGCAACGCCATGAGGAACCTGATTGAAAGCCCATTGTGTTCAATGGAAAGATTCCCATCCAGATCAATGAGCTTTGGATCAGGACCCCTGGAGCCTCTCATTCTTCCCTGTCCACACTGGGACTCCACCTGAATGTTGTCACGCATGGCCCCCTGACACCAGATACCATGTTCTTCGCTGCTTTTGTACCATTAGATGCTTTAAACCACTGCTCCATTGCAGCTGGTCTTCCCTGGACTTTTCTGCTCTCCTGTCTACGCAGCACCTGTTCTAAAGCCGCTGTTACAGCAATGAAGGTTGTAACTTGCTATCCACTAGAAATCTCCCCTTGCTTTGCTATAAAAGATTCTCTCCCTCAGACATGTCGCATATATGGTCTTTAGGGAGAGGTTGTGATGCTGTATGGCCATTTATAATATTATTGATACCAATATTACAAAATTGCTATGAATCTTACAAGATATGCCATGTACGGTATCAGTGGAGAAGTTATGCTTTGCTAAGTATGATCATCTTGTTTATAGGTATGTATCATTGTTGTATCGTGAGTTATAAATATGTGTGATATAGCTGTGTCTCAAACTTGTGTTTTGCAATCTGTCTGACGCCCCCAGACAGATTGGCATCAGCACTATCTAGCCTGTTTGATGGCCCACCAAGGACAATCAGCTGTACAGTGAGCCCGTTGAGAAGCCAGGAGCTACCCCTATGAGTCAGCAGGACATGTAGGGACAAGGACATGCCTGTGGACAGGGACACCAAGAGCTTTTCCATGCCCGTGTGCTGTGAGTTTGTGTTTGGGACAAAGGATTTTCAAGCCACATGGCAAAGGATATAAAAAGGCAGCTGCCTCTTCTCCATTTTGTCTTCACTCCTGCGTCTCACCTCTGGAGTAACTTCTCTACAATCTGAAGCTTTGAACAAAGGACTGATAGACTCATCCAAGCTTTGGGTGTGTCCCAGAGGGACTTTACAAGCCAGCTAACTCACCAATGCTGCTATGAACCTGATATACGGACTCTGAAGTCATATTATGTATCTGATTGCTTTGACCATTTAACAATTCTCTTCTCTTTTCCTTTCTTTTATAATAAACATTTAGTTTTAGATACAAAAGGATTGGCTGGCAGCGTGGTATTTTGGGTAAGATCTAAACTAGTATTGATCTGGTAATACGGCTGGCCCTTTGGGGATCAGAAGAACATTTTGTATAGTGAGTAGAGTTTTAAATAACTTCTCACTTTACTGGACCTATTTGCTGATTGGGAGCCTGAGACCGGCATGCAAGAAAGGGGGCTGATTTCTTTTTGGTTGGCTTCTTGATAACCAGTGTGGGGGATCAGGAGCACAGTTTGTGACTGGTTGGTGAGTCCAACTACAGTGTTAACCACCAGTTCGGGGAGCAGCCTGCCCTGACTTTGGCATTTTCAGTGTGGGCTACCATAGGCACCTTGAGCCACAGAGGAGATGGGGAATTTTGAGGTTAATTTGAGAAGATGGACATAATCTGACCATCCAAAGGATTTAGCTAGAGATCAACCGGGGTGGTCTTGATCTGCAAGGAGACGACCTCCTTTTGGGGTGTGCCGTGATGATGATGAAGAGCATTACTCAGTATGGGTGGCTGACCCTCTGCATGTGGTGGAATTCATGAACTTCACGCCCACAGTCACACCTCCGCCTCTTCATGGATCACATCCAAGGTGATTCTGGGACAAAGCCCATGAGCTGATCTGCTCAAGCTGCAGGAGGATGCATGCTCCTTCAGTAAGGGAGGAGCCATAGGACTTCTAGGGTGCTGCATTTGGTATTACTGGGGTCTTTTTCAGGCCTTCCCTCTTCCCCACTCCTACCTGCACGTATTCACTGTCACTCCTCAGGGTCTTATCAGCCAGCATCTCGTCTATTGTTATGGTCTTCACATTATCGAGCCCTGGGATGAAAGGAATACAGCAAGTAAGAACCACCCGACGGCCTCTGTGAGTGCCAAAGGCGTCCTGACTGAGCCACTCACCAGCAAACTGGACCGCGTTGCCGTTCCCCTCTCTTTGTTTCTCCTTGAACAGCTTGTAGCAGGCATTGGGGCTGGCCAAGAGCAGCCGGAAACCCTTAACGGAGAGAGTCAGTCAGTGTCTGGCCTTATCTACATTAGACTTCTTCCTCCGAGATCTCTCATCTCACTGGTTCAGCCTCACTGGTGACACAATGGTGTGAGGGCTCCTGTAGCTGGGGAACTGGTGTTCACCAGCACTTGATGCGTTGCCTTACGCAGACCTGCTCTGAGCATGGTGAGAACACCAATGGCTGCCGGAATCCTGTCTACACTAGAGTGGCCACTGTTGCTATCTCTGGGGGAGCTGAACCAACAGAAGCAGCAGTGGGGAAATTGGGGCCAAAAAAGACCCTCACAGGAGGCTGTGTGGTCTAGTACATCCAGGCAATCGACCAGGCAGTAGCCTAGGAATCAGGAGACGTGGGTTCTAGCCCCAGCTCTCCTGCAGACTTGTCTGTTCCACCCCACCTGCCTTATCTAGATTGTGTATGATTTGGGGCAGGACTATCTGTCACCTTGCGCAGGTACAGCTGGCCCCCAACTATAGTTGGGGAGGTTTCAGCACTGCTGAAATATACATTAGAATTAAAACCATGTGCATCTAACCCAAACTTCCTAGAACATTCCTCTTCATTTCGTGTGATTTCTTCCTCTCCCCTCCCGCCCCATGGGAGACAGTGGAATATCAGGGAATTGGAAGCTTTTTTGTCCATGGAAGCATGAGAAAAATGAAAGGCAATTGGGCTGAAAATCTGCATTTGGAACCAGAAGTGTAACGAGCCTGATTCTGCTGAAGTGATCATAGAATCAGGATGCAGCCATGTGTCCCAAAGAGAATCAGGTAACAGAGGCAAAGAGACTTTCTTTTACAAATATATGTTGTTATTATTACATGATGCTGTCCCTTGAGGTAAGTCAGTGTGTCATCTCAGACAAGTTGCTTCCTCTGCCTCAGTTTTCCTAATCTGTAAAATGGCCATGCTATTTACCCATCCTAACAGAGGGATTGCGGGGCTTATTTGATGTATACAGAGAGCATCAAGAGTCTCAGGTGAAAGGCACTAGAGGAATTCAGAGTATGTGTGGAGAGGATTATGCAAGCCCAAAATAACAGGAACACAGCCAAAAGTACATCCATGTGGCTTACAGACTAAGTTACTGCGAGAGTGTAACTATTATAGACACATGTTCTGTGACTTCTCCCCCTCTAAAAGGAGACAGTACAGTCTAGTAGGTAGGGCACCAAACTGGGAGGTAGGAGATGTATTTTCTATTCCCAGCTCTGCCACAGACTCACCATTTCACCTCAGGCAAGTCACTTTCCCCTCCCCATGTGCCTTGATTTCCCCATCAATCAAATGGGAGGAATGCTTCCCAACCTCTGTAAATTGCTTCCAGAGGCGCAGATGAAGAATGCTCTCCAAGCACCATGCCTGACTGGAAGGGAGGGAAGGGCTGGTTAGAAACGTCACCTGGGGAGTGGTACCTTCCTATCGGGGGCCGGGACAAAGCTCAGGAATTCATCGACGTGACCCACACTCAGCCAGTCAGAGTAGAGCTCCACGGGGCGCTGCACCTTCTGGGCATAGAGAAAGTCCCTGACGGCCCTTGTCATCCTCCGGCCGCCCGACCTGAGAACTCAGACGGAGGGAGAACACAGGAGTTCGTATCAGTCCCAGAAGTCCCAACTCCCAACCCTCCCTCATAACTAGCTGTGTCTTGATAAAAATTGCCAATACGCTGCTATTCTGAGACAAAAAGAAAAGGAGGACTTGTGGCACCTTAGAGACTAACCAATTTATTTGAGCATGAGCTTTCGTGAGCTACAGCTCACTTCATCAGATGCACACCGTGCAGTTTCCACAGTATGCATCCGATGAAATGAGCTGTAGCTCACGAAAGCTCATGCTCAAATAAATTGGTTAGTCTCTAAGGTGCCACAAGTCCTCCTTTTCTTTTTGCGAATACAGACTAACACGGCTGTTACTCTGAAACCTGTCATTATTCTGAGACAGTGCCTTTGCTTGACCTTTCCAAATGCCTGAGTTTGTGCTGGTAATGCTATTCCATTGAATGTCCCACGTAAACGCGAGGCCAGATTCGGGGGGGAGGGGGCTGTTTGTCTCAGTGAACAGACTGCTTTGTAAAGCAGGGTTCTTTATTACACAAAGCACATCTCAGCCCTCTTGTTTTAGCTGAACTGCCTCGTACTGGCTGCCCGGAACAGCTGCTGAGTTCAAGTCACCAGTCTTTCGGAGCAGAGCAAACCAGCCTCCACTCACTCCAGGCCTTTAACCTTTTCTGAGCCGTCCCTCTTTTCCTGTTTAAGGCCTGCCTCTCCCTTGCCCGGCAATCTGTGGGGTCATTCCCACTAGTGCAAAACAGGTGTAGACATCAGAATGGTAGCAACTTGTACTCATGCACTGGGGAAATGATGCTGCATGGGTGCAAGCCAATGAGGAATCAAGCCCCTAAACTCTATATTTTAGCTTCAATCTCTAATAGGTTGACATGCACAGTGGAGCTCAAATGACTTTATTACATGGGGAATTTAGGTCCCACTCTCAATCCACTGAGTAGCATTTATCCATGCAAGCCGTCCCACTCGGATCAACAGCACTATCCAGATCGGTGCGACTCAGAGCAAGGAAGGGTCGCAGATCAATAATATTTCCATTGCTCAAACTGGGAAATGGGCCCAAGCTGCAGAACTCAGATCCAAATGTCTCCATCATTTGGTGGTGTCCTGATCAGGGGGGTTTGGTTCAAGCCATTCTAAAGTCACAGAGGCCAGCTCCAACTCTCAGTGTGGAGATATTAAAAACCAGACTTCCACTCTGGTCCTTCCTCTAGCCGAACATCATGGCTGGTGAATTCTTCCGCAGCAAGAAGCAGGATTGTTCTTCCAGACCCTGGTACTGACAATGTCACCAGGATCTGTTGATACTGCAGAGCTGCCAGCTTGCTGAGAGTTTCCCAGCAGCCCTTTCTGGGCTTGGCTCAGCTTCATTCAAAGGGCAGATTCAAAGCAGAATGCTTTCTTGGTGGGATAACAGGTGTCTCCTAGGTCAGCAGGCAGGGATCCCATTCTCTGTCCATATAACGAAAGTAAGTGGAATCACTTCTTCCTCCACTTATGCTTTACTATCCACCAGCCCTCACTGTAAGTATATTACCTTGTTACACAGGCTGATAAAGTGGAGGTGGTGAGATGAGCCTTGACCTGCTTCCTTGGACAGAACACCTGTAGGTGGTGCTTGGAAATACACGTCTCTGAGCAAACGTGACCTCAGAAGCTTGTTAAATAAGAGCACTTCAGGAGACTTCCTATTCCTGTAACTCAGGACGGTTGGATTAGATAAGGCTCTTCCCCTGCTGCTACCATGTTCTATCAACATGCACTCCAGGGTCTTCAAGTCTATTAGCTCTGGGGATGGCTGGCGCCTAAGGTTGTGTGTTCAAATATACATGGTTTGGCAAGCCTTGCAAACTGCAGGCCACGGAAGTGCGCTCCATTGAAACGAAGGGCAATACTGGCCAACGAGGAAGGATGGCCTGGTGGTTCAGATGCCAGCCTAGGCTGACCAGCCTTTAGCTTCCTGCTCTGCCACAATCATCCCCGTGACCCTGGGCAAGTCACTTTGGCTCTCCCTGCCTCCGGTCTCCTTCTGTAAAATAGGGCCATAGCATTACCTCATCTCCCAGCAGTGTTGTAAGGATAAATAGAATCAATCATAGAATATCAGGGTTGGAAGGAACCTCAGGAGGTCATCTAGTCCCACCCCCTGCTCAAAGCAGGACCAATCCCCAATTTTTGCCCCAGATCCCTAAATGGCCCCCCTCAAGGATTGAACTCACAACCCTGGATTTAGCAGGCCAATGCTCAAACCACTGGGCTATCCCTCCCCCCTGTAAGATGCTCAGATACTGTGGTGACGGGAGCCATACAAGCATGGTCACTAGCTAGGAACAGCAGGGTATGATCTTGTTGCCCATCGCCTCCCATTGCATGATAGAGACGGTCGGAGGGGTGGGGGTATAAATTCCTCTGGCTTCATTAATGTCTCTGTGCAGAATGGGGCTCAGACATTGCATCTCCACGTGGTTAAAAACACCTCTTCCATGTTAAGGAGATGATAACAGACTTGAAGCAGCTGCAGTGACAGGCAGCAGAGGGAACGTGAAAATTCTCTCTGCTGTTTTCGAGGCTCAAGCAGCAATTCGGCAGCAAGCTGACCGTGTTGGTTGTAGGGGGAAGGTCGCACCACTGCAGGCCTTAGTAGCGAGCTATTAAGCTACCTGCATCTGCAAATTTCCCCTCCAGTTCCCCCCTCGGGAACTTTCCCCCTTGGCGTCTTTATTCTGTTAGCTGCACCTTTAATCCTCTTGCACACCAAGACCTCAGTGTAGGAGGCCTAAAAGTCCCAACTCATGCTCCTCCCTCACCTGGGCAAGCTGCTTCCAATGAGGATCCTTCCCAGCGGGTACGTCTTCCCTTGGACCGTCACCGGAGGGCTGACATCCAGATTTCCAAAGGAGTCGAGGCTGGAGACGTGTCCGTAAGGAGGTACTCGGGTCACGTAGCCAAAATCAGGGCCCTTTTGGGGATGAGAACAACACAACGCACCGTCCAGTTAGACGCGCTATTCATTGCGGTGATGAGTTGCAATCCTGCCTGCACCCATGCAGCTGCTGTCAGAACATGTGCTAAAGGCTTGACCTGCCCATCTAAAAGAATCCTTACCCAGGCCGGCCATGTGGAAGAGCAAAGGAGCCAGTCTTCCAGGCAAGGAAATCCGCTCCTCTCCTAACCCTGCCAGGAGGGGGCACTGTTCCTTTCAACCAATCGTGCCTCACCCCAATAAAACCTATCATTGGAGGGTAAGCATTCAACCTCCTTTGCGAAACCATATAATACTAGATCCAGAGCCACACTTTGGCACCTCCCTGAAGTGGTAGAACATGCCCCATCCATTCCCAGGAGTTCTTGACTTTTGTTCCCAGCTGGGGAGGGGTGTAAGTCAACAAGAAGCAACATAGAAAGAACTGGGCTGGGCTAGTTTAACCCTCACTGGTCCCGCCTGGCTCTCTGACTCCCTCTCGTGACTAGCCCTAGCAGGGTTTATGAGTGCAACTGGGCAGATGATGGATTTTTCAGTTCACTGGCAATTCCAAAGAAAATTGAAAAAAGGGCTGTTTCAGGTTGAATGGAAAATGAAGATTTTCCAGAATTTTTGGTGAATCGAAAAGTCAAAACATTTTGTGTGGGGTGGAGCGACACATTTCCTTTGACCTATCTCCAATTTTCATTCAATTTTGGGGCATTTTAACAAGAAGCCAAGATTCACAAAACACATGGAGGAGGAGCTTGTCTCCTTATAACTCTGAGCCCAGGACCTCACCCAAGATGTGAGAAACCTGGGTTTAGGGCTTTACATTGCCTGCTGTAGAGAAGGGGTTTGAACTCAGGTCTCTTACAGGGCTAGAGAGCAGCCCAGCCACTAAGCCACAGGCCGGGTTTTCTTCCTTACTCTTGCTCACTTCCCCCCTACTGCTGTTCCACTCTGTATGACAAATTAAATAAGTCATCAGAACAGAGATCTAAACTTGCATCTCCCTCATCCTCTGGACATGCCCCAAGCACCAGGCTGTAAAGTCGCTCTTGCGCTTTGATTGCCCCACTGACTCTTCATCATCTTCGTGACTGACAGCAAATAATTGATTCTCACACACACACACACACACATACACACAAATTCATCACACAATTCCCCCCGCTCTAATCTGAACTAACACTTGCATTGGCTTGATGTACCTAGCTTGTTGGAGATCAGCTTTATAGTCCCTTGACTCCACCCCCTTTTTAGTTTCATCCAATCATCCCTCTCCAGTGGAGCTTCCCCCCCCCCCCCGATCCCCTTCCCCACCTTTTTTTAAAAAGTGCTTTTGTTTTAGCCATCAAAACAAGCGGCCCGCTTAGCGTCCCCAGGCGAGGACAGAATATGGAGCCCCCAGCACCAACCGCCCATGAACACAAAAGCCAAGAATATGAGACCAAACCAAGCGAAGATCAGGCAGTTTCAATGGGCGGCTGTGGGGCTGTGTTCCTGGCACAGGTGGTACTGTGTGGGAGGGTATAAAGATCCGTACTCACAAGCCCCCTTCCTCCCATCCCAGGACGTAGAAAGTTAGTCTAGTCTCCATGAGCAAAATGCACCTGGCGGCATCGCAGAACACGCCCACCAACTTTCCCCGCAGGTCAGAGTGGCCAGGCCTCTGCTTTGTGTAACGTAACTGCGAAAGGAAAGAGCAAAGCAACTCTGCAGCCGGATTCTGCTTCTAACTTTGCCCAGGGCTTGGTCTTGTGTTCAGCGAAGTGCTGTTTGGATTGATCCTTGAACAGCCGGGCTTTCTAGCCCTTTCTGGAGGATGGCTCCATTGCAGTAAGACGGAGATTTTTTTTCCAGCGAGAAGTCTATGCAGAAAGGCTGGGGGGGGGACAGACGACGGGACATAGTGGTTGATGGTTGGCGTTGTTTAGAACCAGCCATCCAGGGCAAACTCTCCTGCTGAGTCTTTAGGTTCAGGCCTTGCAGGGAGTGAAGTCAGATGTAAAGCACGAGTGATTCCGTCCTCTGGCATCAAACTGGGACATTAGAGGCTAAACTGGGAGTGATTCCACTGTAGTCAGTGCAGTTGTGGCCCTGTACAATAGAGGTAAGCAAAAGGAGACTGCTGCGCTGCATTTGATTGCCTGACTCATCTATTGCAAGTGGCAGGTTTTTCTGAGGGTTAGAGCAATGGTGCTTTAATGGATGCTAGTTGCTTATCAGCCGTGTGCTGGAATTAATGTGTGCTGAATGGTGCTTCTGCATTTAGAGCTTTTAATCTGCACATGTTGGACACCTGACAAGTAAACTCACCAAAGTCAGAAGGAACCCTCCAAGCAGCCCCCAAATGAGCAACAGCCCCTCTCCAGGGCGGTGAGCTCCAAGAGACTGGATGAAGTGAGCTGTAGCTCACAAAAGCTTATGCTCAAATAAATTTGTTAGTCTCTAAGGTGCCACAAGTCCTCCTGTTCTGTTTAAGAGACTGGATGACACTGAGCGGCCAAACCTCGCCCAAGGATCAGGAACACTCTGGAAAGAGTCTGTTCTCGGCCGTTTAAAAAAATAGTTACTAACCAGAATCCTTTTAAAAGCAAAATCCTTCAGGCCTCTGTCCCGGGGGGAGTCGAAGACCACGGGGAACATCTTGTGGGGAGCCTCCACGTAGCCAAACTCCATCTCGTCCTGTTGTGGGGAGAAAGCGGGGAGGAGGTCTCTTACAGCAGCAGTGCTATCAGTCGCTGACGAGTGGGAACGGGTGGTGCGGGCGAAGCGTGCATGGGGGGTATTTGGGTGATGGCTCCCCTGGTGGGGATTGAACTGCAGCTCTCCAGAGCTGCTACGACGTGAGCTTGCACACGTAGCTGGGGGCTGCAGCAACTCCAGGGGGGCCTATAATAGATGCTCACCGGTGGCTTACGCTTGTATACGCCAAACCTTGCTCTCCCCTCCTTCAATCCCATCCTTAATCCATGCAGTTCCTGCAGGGCCTGTGAACCCTCGTCCTTCCCCTTCAGGCTGCGTTAACTAAGCAGAGGATCACAAGTATGAAATAGGCCCCACATGACAAGGGGGCGTGGTTTTCCTTTCTCCCCCAGTGCCTGCAAAATGATGCCTTGGGTAATGCCAGCTGAGAGAGTCATTGCTGAGACAGCGAAGGGGCGGTTGGCAGGGTCTAGCTACCTATCTGGCGTCATTTGTACCGTCCTGATTGCTGTAGTAGCCAACCGCTGATCAAAACGCCACCTACTGATGAACGTCGCCAGTTTTATTTATTTGATTCTGGCCCCATATAAGGCTCCTAATCCCTGTTGGCTTGGTTTGGGTTTTGAGGAAGCAGTGGTGACACAGTGATGGGCTACGCAGTGCGTTCTAGTGGCCTGGGACTTGAAAAACCTGGGCTCTGTTCCCAGCTCTATCCCTGGCCTGTTGGGTGAGCTTGGGCAAATCACTTTGCCTCCCCGTTCCTCAGTTTCCCCATCAGTAAAATGGAGATCATGATAAAGCGCTTTGGGATCTACTGATGAAAAGTGCTAGGTAAGAGTCATGTATTATTACCTGGATCCAGCGATCATGTCGGTTTTCGACCTCAGGGCAGACGGTCAGCTTGCAGTTGGCTTTCCTCACCAGGGCTCTCAGAGCCTCCAAAAAGTCCCCATTAGGGTTTGAGTCTCTTTCCATGCTGGAAGGAAAATGAGTAAAGAGAGGGACCTAAATGGAGCAGAGGGGCCAATTCGTTATGGGGAATGGGTCACGGGGACCCAGCCAGAAACCAAACTGTGCCCTGCGCTCCCCATTCACAGGCTGCTCTGTTTGTTAAATGTTGTGAGTTTAGCTCTCGTGGAAGGAGGAGCTTTGCAAAACGGCAACATGACAAATGGGGCCTTGATGCTCAACCTATTTCAATGGATGCTAGTGGCAGCAGGTCCAGGTTCTTCAACATTTGGACCGGGGCACCTGGAGAACAGGAGAGCAAGCCTGCAACACGGCTTCCCCTGCAGTCTGGGCTAGATTGTCCTTGGGGAGGGGACGGGGGCAAGACTCAAGGAGAATCTTCCCCTGGGTGCCACGGACAATTGCAGTTTCTGCTGTCACGAAGCTCAGGGACTGTCCCTTCCATGCATCCCCAAGGACACAAATTGCCCCACAAAGAGCAGATGGCCAGACGCAGGGAGGGGAGCCGACTGTGCCATCCTAGGGGCACCAGTATGGTTTGAATCTGCATCCAGGCTTGGGCGCCGTTGCACACACACCTGTGCTGCTTGAACTAAAGGAGTAAGACTGTAGTTGGTAGCGGTAGAGGGTCATTGTACCGGGACGCTGTGTGAGCGTGATACACATGTACCCACCGTGCTCCTCTGAGCCACAGAATCAGCGTGACTCCACCCCACCCTACTACAGACTGGTGACTGAAATGATCCGTCGTATGACTTGTATCGCTCTCACCTGCAGACAAAAACCTCCAAAGGCTGCAGGGTGTTGGGCGTCATTATCCATGGGGCCACCCGGAAGACCACGGTGTCTGTGAAAACCGGGGTGTCTGGCGCGTTCTACAGGCAACAAGAGATGAAAATCACTGAGCGCCAAGCAAAAGCAAAACCCGGTCTTTGAAGGGGCAAAAGGACTCGCGTCCAAGATTGCTGAGCACCTAGACAGATGCCCCATTCACGGCTGCTGGCTAACAGGATGGCTCCCAAACGAAGGACTCAGAAGCCAACTGTGCGCCACTCTCCACTAGGCTCACCGCAGCAGTGACAGGACTTCTGGGAACTGAACTGCAGAGCAAGCTGAGCAGAAGATGGAGAGCTCCTGGCAAGAAACGCCTTTAAATTGCAAGTGTGCAGCTAAGGAGGGCCACCCAATGGTTAGATCCATGGCTGCCACTTCGCTTATGACGCCATCTCCACACAGGGTGCAGGGGGCGCTGGCCACTTTCATGGCTTTTTCTTAACCCCTTCTGTTACCCACGGAAGGGAGCGGTCTTCTCCAGTGCCACTCAAAGCCCCTTCCCATGGGAAAAGAGGGTGAAACCCCAGTCTGAGTTTTGGAAGGTCTCAGCAGGGAGAGCTGAGTTGGTTTAACATGTGCTGAATGTGGTTCCTCTCTGTTGGGGGGCCTGGCTAGCCTAATTACATAGACGTGGTCAGGAGGTCCTGTCTACACTGCACAGTAATGCCACTTTGTCCTGGTGTAACTGAACTCATCTCTAGCCCTGGCAATGTTGAAACACGAATGTGGTTAGGAGCCGGGCCTTAACTGCCGCGTGTATAGCCGGGACCCCTCCATCACATCTAAGGCTGCGATTTAATCCCAGGTGTTTTTAGCAAAAGTCATGGACAGGTCCCGGGCAAGAAACAAAAAAATTATGGCCCGTGACCTGTCCATGACATAAACCATAAATACCCTTGATTGAATCTCGGGAAGGAATCCCAGGGGCCCGTGGCACCAGCTGCAGGGAGGGAGCCCTGGGGGGCCCGTGGCACCAGCTGGGGGGCAGGGGCCCAACTGCCACTCCAGCCTCCGGGGGGGGGAAAGCCCTGGGGGCCTCGCTGCCACTCCAGCCACCACCGGGCGGGGGAAGCCCCTGGGGGCCAGCCACTGCCCTGGCCGCCCCAAAATCACTGCCGGGAGCCACAGAGCTGCAGTTGCTCCCGTGACAAACACGACCTCCGTGACTTCCTGCGACCTCTGTGACAAACACAGATCCCTAATCACATCACAAGCTGTCAACAAACGCAATAAAACATTGTAGTGTGTACGGCCCTTTAAAACTATGGTCATTCAGACGCAGGGTTCAGTCAGCAGCCCCATCGTTTCAGCCGGAAGAGGGCTCGACGGGAGAGCCATGGATAGCACCAAACTGTCCAGGGGAAAGTTATTGATTGGGGATACAGCAGGTTCTCATCACGGAGACCCCGATGGGTGCCAGATTTGGCTGCAGAGGGTAGATGAGTGTCACAGGCCAGCCCACCTCATCGGGCATCTGGGAGAGGCTGGTTTAATTGACTTTATTCTGTCTTATGCTTCCTGATGTGCTCAAAAAGTGCTCCCAAGGGAAGGTTCCTCTCTGAGCAACTGACCAGAAGCTCAGGTTCTGGGAACCCTTGTTCAATGCAATGAAAGCCATGGCCAGAGTTGGAAGGCTGAAAATTCAAGGTTGTTTCTGATTTGTCTGAGCCTTTTGGTCTTTCCGAAAACCTCCTCCAGGGCAAGGGGACTATGCTGGCCTGGGGAACCCCGTGAGGGCAGTGTCCTTGAGCCTTGCCTCCCTATGTGATCATCCTTCCACTGGCTGAAAGGCGCTGCAGTTAGAAGCATCTCTCTGTACTGCCCATAGTCCAAGAGTGTATTGTACCTTATCGGAGACCTCTAGCAGGGTGACGCTGAAGGAAACCAGCCCTGAGAAGTCAGCGTCCGGGAAGGCTAATCCCTCGACATAGAAGGTTTCCTCTTCTTGTCCACTGGGACGATCCACTACGTAGGAGAGTTTATCCGACCCCAGCACATGCTCGTACTGGGCGAGTGAGCCGCTGCCTAGGAACACAAAGGAATACACACCACAGTGTGACCGGGACATTTCACACACTGGAGTGGATGGGGCAGCCAGGAGAAGGTGGCGTATACCAAAGAAGAGCATCTCCTGCATTATCCAGTGGATACAGTTAATATTCCTTTGTATACCCTGGAGCCAAAACTTTCAAGTGTGAGTTGTCTAAAGTTGGCTCCCTAAATCCATGGCCTCATTTTGGATGGGAGCTGCAAGGGCTCTGCACTCAGCCATGGATTTAGGTGTTGAAATAAGAATCTGTTTGCCCAGCGAGGTACCCAGCTTTGATCTAAGTGTTGTGCCCAAGTTCATGCAATAAGTTAGTGGCAGGATTAGAACTTGGGCAATCTTGGATACTAGCCTTGTATTTGTTCCCCTGGGTCACACTGCCCCCCTCTGAAGTTTGTCCTGCAAAAACTGACTTGCATCATGATTTGGTGTCGTGGGTGGGCTGGCAATCATATTACAGAGCAGTGCCCACCACTCATATGTATTTGGGCTCTCCAGGCAGTCAGGCCTGCCTCAGGCGCGCTTAGAAATGCCTAATGGAACGTCAAACGCAGTTCATCGTCGGAGACGAACTGGTGTGAGAAGCAGACCTTGCCCTCTGAAATTTCAAACAAAGCCTTCTTCTTCTTTTTAATAACCCTAACTGTCTTGTAACCTGATCTTCTAAAAGGGCTAATGCAAGGGAATGCAGAGATGCTCAGAGGACAGGAAATACCTTTGAAATCGGAGGACATCAAATTGTACAGGAAAAATGAGTCGAAGGAACAGGAAAGTAAAATGACACAGACGCCTAAATTATCAGGATGATTACAAAGCCAGAGAAAGCAGAAGTAGAACGATATTGACTGTTGAGAGCTGTAGAGTTATGCTCCAAGTGTGTTGTCAGATCACTGGACGTCAAGAGACTGCCATGGAGGAAAGATGGTCTTGTAGCTAAGGCTCCGGAGAGATGGATTCTGTTTCTGGCTCAGCCACAGGGTACGTCTAAACTATGCGCTAGGGGCGGGATTCTCAGTTCATGCAGAAATACTTGTGCTAGCTCTTGTCTGAGCTAGCATGCTAGAAGACAGTAGTGTAGCCATGGCGGCTGGGGGGAGCTGCCCGGTGTACGTCCCTATGGGTTTGTACTCGGGTGGTGAGCCCATGCTTCTGCCCATGCTGCTGAAGCTACACTGCAATTTTTAGCATGCTAACCCAACGAGGGGTAGTGTGAGTCTGTCTGTGCGAGCTGGCAGTCACGCCCCTCGCTCCTAGTGTAGACATTCCCACAGACTCCTTGTCCCTGAGCGAGGTAGCGGGGTCAGCGTTAAACCCCTTGCTCACCCTGCTGATCAGTTATTCACACAAGGAGGGGGACTGTTGGCAGCGTAAAGCATTTCCCAGTCTGGTCCTTAATTTCTAAGCGCCTCCGTTAGGGTTGGTACTTTCCTGCTTCGTGCTGATATCGGAAACAGACAGTGGAACAAAGTCTTAGGAGTTGAGCTGGGGGGACATTTTTGGGCAAAACTGTTTTCTAGCAAAAAATCCAGATTGGGCGACACTGAAGCGTGTTGCCAATTTGTGTCAATTTTCACTGAATTGTTTTCGGTCAAAAAACCCCCACAGTTCCGGATTTTGACCTTTTCAAAATGAAACTTTTCAGTTTTCTGATTCAAAATGACTTTTCTGGTTTGAAATGTCCTTTAATTTTATTTCAAAGTTTTTCCAAAAGTTAGAAAATGTTCAAAAATGAAATAAACATTTTATTTGGGGTTGAATTAAACATTTCATTTGACTCAAATCTATTTTTTTAAGTTTAGCAATTTTCAGCAAATCAAAACATCTGTTTTTTGTCTAGTTCTGCTTAGTCATCCTAGTTCATTTAGGCACTCAAGCAAATTCCACCTAAACTCATTAATGTATGTGAGTGGCTCGATTTTCTGGTGATGAGGCCACCCAAGCCCCTAGATAGACAGGAAGGCTAAATGCTCACCATTGGCATGGAAAACTCTCACTTTATCCACATCGGACACAGAAACATGAAGAACCAACTTGTAGTCAGCAAAGATGGCACTGGGTCCTTGGATCCTCAGGATCATAAGTGACATGTCTTGAAGATCTTGGAAAGAGAAGAGATCGGCATTAGCCGCTGTTATTATTTGTATTATCATAATGCCTAGACGCCCCAGTCATGGACCATGGTGCTAGGAGCTATACAAACACAGAACAAAGAGACGCTGCCTGCCCTGCAAAGAATTCATAGTCTAAGTATGAGACAAGCGACCACAGAGGGGTCAGATGGGCGGAATACAAGCAAACAATGAAACAACATTGGTCATCATGACAGGCAGTGATCTCAGAACACCAGCAGCCCACCCGTTGTCCAGTTTTCTGTAGGCTTTCTGCCAGAGGGGAGTTTTAAGGAGGGTTTGAAGCAGGAGAATGAGTTAGTTTTGAAGAAAGAAAAGGAGTACTTGTGGCACCTTAGAGACTAACTAATTTTTGAGGATGTCTATAAGGACCTTCTCTCAAGCGTGAGGGGGCTGCCTGGGAGAAAGCATGAAGGTGCTGGTTTGAAAATTTAGCAAGTGGGTGAAGGAGGCTGGCGTCATGGGCTGATCGGAGGTGGGAGTCGACCTTTTGCTGTTGGATGAGAGATGATGGGGGGGAGAGGGGGGATATGTTGTGAACGGCCTTGAAAGTGAAGACAAGTAGTTTCTTACAGTGACCTCTTGAGGTTTTCAAGCTCAAGCCTTGAAACTTTGACTTTCCCAGTGTGTGTCCAGATACAGAGTTTATACTGAGCTTATACCTGGCTGTCAGATTATATGGCACACCTGCTATGTTTTTATGTTCTTGCTACTAGGGCTGTCAAGCGATTAAAAAAATTAATCCCGATTAATCGTGCTGTTAAATAATAATAGAATACTCTTTATGTAAATATTTGGATGTTTTCCAAATTTTTGAATATATTGATTTCAATCACAACACAGAATACAAAGTGTACAGTGCTCACTTTACATTTGTTTTTTATTATACAATAAAAGCTGTTTTATCCGGCACTTCACCAATCAGAAAGTTCTATAAACCGGCATTTCTGATCTTCGTTGAAAGTCCGGTTGGCGCAGGACTGGCAAGGGGCTGGGGCACGGGAGGGGGTGTGGAGTGCGAGCTCTGGGAGGGATTGGCTCGGGTCAGCAGGTTGGGGCATGGGAGGGGGTTTTGGGGTGCCGGATCTGGGGGGCGCTCACCTCGGGTGGCTCCCTGCAAGCGGCGACCTCTCCCAGCTGCTCCTAGGTGGAAGCGTAGCAGGCAGCTCTGGGAACCTCAGCCAATGGGAGCTGCAGGGGTGGCATCTGCAGGCGAAGGCAGAGCACAGAGCCACCTGCTGCGCCTCTGCCTAGGAGCAGCAGGACAGGTCGCCGCTTGTGGGGAGCTGCCCGAGGTGAGCACCCCCCGGATCCAGCACCCCATACTCCCTCCCATGCCCCAACCTGCTGCCCCAAGCCCCCTCCTGCACCCAAACTCCCTCCCAGAGTCTGCACTCCACACTCCCTCCCATGCCCCAGCCCCACACCCCTGCTAGGACCCAAACTCCCTCCCTCTTAGTTAACCAGCATTTTTCACTTACCAGTAACCCCCATTCTCCCATAGCATTTTTCAATTCACTTAATACAAGTACTGTAGTACAATCTCTTTATCATAAAAGTCGAACTTACAACTGTAGAATTATGTACCAAAAAAAAAACTGCATTCAAAAATAAAACAATGTAAAACTTTAGAGCCTACAAGTCCACTCAGTTCTATTTCTTGTTCAGCCAATTGCTCAGACAAACAAGTTTGGTTACAATTTGCAGGAGATAATGCTGCCTGCGTCTTGTTTAAAATGTCACCTGAAAGTGAGAACAGGGGTTCTCATGACACTGTTGTAGCTGGTGTCACAAGATATTTACATGCCAGATGTGCGAAAGATCCATATGTCCCTTCATCCTTCAACCACCATTCCAGAGGACATGTGTCCGTGCTGATGAGGGGTTCTGCTCGATAACGATCCAAAGCAGAGCAGACCAACGGAGGTTCATTTTCATCATCTGAGTCGGATGCCGCCAGCAGAAGGTTGATTTTCTTTTTTTGGTGGTTCAGGTTCTCTAGTTTCCTCCTTGGAGTGTTGCTCTTTTAAGACTTCTGAAAGCATGCTCTACGCCTTGTCCCTCTCAGATTTTGGAAGGCACTTCAGATTCTTCAACCTTGGGTCAAGTGCTGTAGCTATCCTTAGAAAATCTCTCACTGGTACCTTCTTTGCGTTTTGTCAGATCTGCAGTGAAAGTGTTCTTAAAATGAACAACATGCTGCGTCATAATTCGAGCCTGATATAATATGATATATCTGGCAGAATGCAGGTAAAACAGAGCAGGAGACATTCAATTCTCCCCCAAGAAGTTCAGTCACAAATTTAATTAATCATTATCTTTTTAACGAGTGTCATCAGCATGGAAGCATGTCCTCTGGAATGGAGGCCAAAGCATAAAGGGGCATACAAATGTTTAGTATATCTGGCACGTAAATACCTTGCAATGTGGCTACAAGAGTGCCATGCAAACACCTGTTCTCACTTTCAGATGACATTGTAAATAAGAAGCGGGCAGCATTATCGCCTGCAAATGTAAACAAACTTGTTTCTCATAGCGATTGGCTGAACAAGAAGTAGGACTGAGTGGACTTGTAGGCTCTAAAGTTTTTCATTGTTGTTTTTAAGTGCAGTTATGTAACGAAAAAAATCTACATTTGTAATTTGCGCTTTCACGATAAACAGATTGCAGTACAGTACTAGTATAAGGTTAACTGAAAAATACTATTTCAGAGGCTCGTTTACCTGCACATCTACCAATGTGATTTATGTGCCAGCAATGCCCCTCTGCCATGTACGTTGGTCAAACTGGACAGTCTCTACGTAAAAGAATAAATGGACACAAATCAGACGTCAAGAATTATAACATTCAAAAACCAGTTGGAGAACACGTCAATCTCTCTGGTCACTCAATTACAGACCTAAAAGTGGCAATACTTCAACAAAAAACTTCAAAAACAGACTCCAATGAGAGACTGCTGAATTGGAATTAATTTGCAAACTGGAAACAATTAACTTAGGCTTGAATAGAGACTAGGAGTGGCTGGGTCATTACACAAAGAAAAACTATTTCCCCATGTTTATCCCCCCCCCCCCCCCCCACTGTTCCTCAGACGTTCTTGTCAACTGCTGGAAATGGCCCACCTTGATTATCACTACAAAAAGCTTCCCCCACTCCACCCCCATCCCCGCTCTCCTGCTGGTAATAGCTCACCTTAAGTGATCCCTCTCTTTATAGTGTGTACGGTAAAACCCGTTGTTTCATGTTCTCTGTGTATATACATCTCCCCACTGTATTTTCCACCGAATGCATCCGATGAAGTGAGCTGTAGCTCACGAAAGCTTATGCTCAAATAAATTGGTTAGTCTCTAAGGTGCCACAAGTACTCCTGTTCTTTTTGCGAATACAGACTAACATGGCTGCTACTCTGAAAACTATTTCTTTTGTTTATAATTTTTACAGTGCAAGTTTTTGTAATAAAAATAATATAAAGTGAGCAGTGTACACTTTGTATTCTGTGTTGTAATTGAAATAAAAATATTTGAAAAGGTAGAAAAACATCCAAAATATTTAATAAATTTCAATTGATATTCTATCATTTAACAGTGCGATTAAAACTGCGATTAATCTCAATTAATTTTTTTAATCGCGATTAATTTTTTTGAGTTAATTGTGTGAGTTAACTGTGATTAATTGACAGCCCTAATTGCTACTGTTTGTATAGTGCCATAGATCTGCGTGGGGCAACAAACAGAGAAATGATAGGCCCTCGCCTTGGGTCCAAACCAGACACAACCCACCAAAGGACAGGATGGGATGTAGCAGGTGAGAGGTGCATGGGGTTGGGGAGGTAATTTTGCAGAGGAAGGGAACCTGTCAATCTTCTGTCATGAAGGGGTCAAAGGTTGAAAATTGGAGCCCCTTTTGAAGCCATGAGGATACAATATTAGACTCCCACTTCTGTTTGTCTACTCGGTTTGTTTTCCCAGCCAGGATAGCATCTAAGGGTTTGTCGAAATAGGGGAAAAGTCCCCCAAAGTTAGTGCAGAATAGCCAAATAGCTGTTCCAGATGAGTTTCCTGTGTGGACATGCCGATTCCACACTCTGAGTGCCTTTGTGCAGATTAGGTCAGTACACTTCCAAAGTGGATTAAGCCACACTGTGTAAAAGGCACTGTTTGTGAGGAAAAGGAGCATCTACACGGGGAGTTAATGGAGAATAGTTACTGAACTTAAATTCATACCCTCGCTAGCTGTTTTTGACTCACTTCCCTGTGTGGATGAGCCCTAAGAGGGGAGGGAGATGTGCAGACAAAGGGGGATGGCCCCCCCACAACAAAAGATAAGTAGCCGTGGTTGGAGACATGAGTCGAGGGACCGTCTGATCCCATCGCCAGGTGTTACACACTGAAGCTCACTTCCCCTGTGTTGGAATCGTAGTGGTAGCACATGAGAGTTGGCCCATCTAGTTCTGGCCTGGCCTGGCTCACGGTCAGACCTCCCCCTGCACCTGTCTAATGCTTGGCCCAGAGCAGAGGTCTGTTCCCAGCGAGTACCTGCGTAGGACTGCACATACTGGTAAGCACTGTCCATATGCTTGGAGCCCGGACTGTCCCTGTCGCAGTTCACTAGTAGCACGGCTCCCTGCCCGTCAGGGCCCCACATCCATTTCGTCTGTAGAGGAAACACAAAGGGATCTGGAACAAAAACTAACCAGGCCAGTGAGCCTGAATTCCATCTTCCTCCTCACCCGGAATCTACCCCTCCTCTCCTCCCTCCGAACAACCCTGGCAATGATCAGGGCATGGGGCCACACCTGTGACGGGGTGTGGTCAGGCGTGTACAGCAGATGTGCTGAGTCAGCACATCTGGATTGCAGCCTCCAGCAGAAACGACAGGTCCATCTGCGACGCACGGGGAAGGTGATTGCCGCACAAGGAGACGTTCCTGAGAGCAAAGCTAGCTCAAGAAACAATCGCTCTGAAGCCACAGCAGCTGGTGGCTGCATGGACTAGCCCTGTCTGGACAGGACTCTCGGTGGCCACTCACGTATGTACCCCTGGGTGGGCGGAGCCAGCCATCAAACCTCCCAATTGCAGTGCAGACATACTCTAAGGGTGCCCCTGGCTGGCAAAAACCCAGAACCATGTCTACACTAGGAAAATAGATTTTAACATGTTAACAAACTAATGTGCTAAAACCCTAATGTAGACAAGGGAGTTAGTTGTAGTTTTAACCCATTGGTAAGATCTCAGCCCCATATTAAACTCACATTAAACCTACAGCTGCCGGGTCTACACTAGCATTTTAATCCAAATTAGGCCATGTCTACACAGAGATCTTACAGCGGCACAGCTGTACCGATGCGGCTGCACCGCTGCAAGATCTCCCGCGGAGAGACTCTCCCGTCAACATAATTAAACGACCCCCACCGAGTTTCAGTAGCTATGTCGGCGGGAGAGCGTCTCCCACCAACAAAGCGCTGTCCACACCGGCGCTTCTGTCAGTGAAACTTATGTCGCTCGCGGAGTTTCACACCTGTGAGCAACATAGGTTGTACCAACGAAAGTGCTAGTGTAGACATAACCTTAGTTAACCCATGGGGTTTTTTTCTAGTGTAGACATGGTTTGACGAAAAGCAGAAGCTACTTGCCCTCCCCTGGGAGAGTCCCTACAGGAGAGCAGCTGGGGTGAATCTATCCCTGTATTGTTCCATGAAAAAACATTCCCTGGGAACTTGGGCATCTGACTGTTTAACCTAGGCATGGAGCAAGCTGGGACCCACAGCAAATGCACAGATCCAGGACCAAAGGGATAGTTTCTTTCTTTTTGCACAGCCCAATGGAAAAAGATAGGGAGCCAAATTCTTTTCTCTGGTGCTACTTCTGCTCTCCTGACCCCTGACTCTGCACTGGAGAAGCAGGGAGGAGAATTTTGTCCAGGGCCAATGCCACGGTTTCATAGTGGTAGGGCATGGAAAAACAATACCGGGATTAGGCTGGCTTCTTCAGAGATCCAGAAAACAGCCTGTCTCCACACAGAACCTTTGTCACTGTCAGCATCTGGTGGCTAGTGCCCTTTAGAAACGGGAATGGAAGTGGATCCACCCAGTGTGTTTCAATGCCGAATGCTTTACCTTGCTCCTTGCTTGCAAATATGAACGAAGTCTCATTACCTTGTTGGTTCCATTGCTCTTCACCATCCCGCTGCGGTCTGTGTCGGCATCTAGAGAGACTTCTGAAATCACAAAGGGAGAAGGAAGCCCTGGTCTCAGATGGCAGGAGAATGATCACACTCAAATCATTGATGTCTTGGGTGTTTCCTTAATGCTATCCATCCATACCTGGACAGCACCAACTCCCCCTTCCCTCCCTACCCCCCGCCCAACACACGCAACAGGATAGGGCTGTGTGAACAGGACTCCCCGGGTCTCCATTCAGAATCTGTATGTTCCAGCCTTTTCCTGCCACTTCCTATGATTTTCATCTGTCTACTCCCATCTTTGGTCCCTTGAGCAAGAAAGCACGGGTGGAAATAGTTTCATGGATGCACTTTTACCTGTTTCCTTGATATCTGCCTTTTGTTGTTGAATGAAAATTAAATGCAATGGAAGCAGGAAGAAATATTTCCAGAATATGGGCATGTAAACACCAAAATATTTGCTTGCAGTGATGAAATATTTTAAAGGGGCCCTACGTAAGCAAATGCTCCTTCCCCCCTCCCCCCAGGTTTCTGGCACCTTACTGGACCGCTAGTCAATAGTAGACATTAGGTGGTTCTCTGTCTGGTAGTCCACTGAGCTGATCAAAAAAGACAGTGAGAGAAACAAAGTGAGCATCATTAAGAGGGTATGGGAATGGAGGAGGAGGTGGCTACTTCTCTGAAAATCAAAAGGCAGGTCACGGTGTAGAATGTGGTCAGTATGTTGAAAACTGTGTTAAAATGAGATGCCATCACTTTAATTTACAAGGGCCTTCCTGGTCCTGCTTGCAGGCTCAGAGGATCTGCAGGGAAGCTTGAAACCTGGTCTTTCAGCAGTCAGTCTGCAGAGAACCACCCTGAAGTACGGTGGGGTGAGTTGTGCCTCTTTGTTTTAGGGAGCAGCCTGCTTTGTCGAACTCTGGCTTTGGGTTCTTTTGTGTTAGGGTTCTGAATGCTAAGATATAAAGTAGTGTTACATTGCAAACTTCCAGCAAGAGAGTGCTGTGTTTATCTAACTTCTCTCTGTGTGTGTGCTGTGAACATTACATAGAGAAGCTGAATCACTTTGTGTGCCCTGGTAGAATTGGAGACTAAGGGAGTGCCCATACGTGCCCAGAGTTTGAGCCCAGGGCAAACATTGGGTTGAAAAGCCAGTGTCCATCGCTCGACTTCCTAGGGTGTACAGTAGAACCGCAGAGTTACGAACACCTCAGGAATGAGGTTGTTCGTAACTCTGAAATGTTCATAACTCCGAACAAAACATTGGGGCCATTCTTTTAAAAAATTTCAACTGAACATTGACTTAATTCAGCTTTAAAACTTTATTATACAGAAGAAAAATGATGTTTCCCCTTTTTTTTAGTAGTTTAGGTTTAACACAGCATTGTACTGTATCTTTTTTTTTTTTGGTCTCTGTTGCTGCCTGATTGTGTACTTCCGGGTGGTTGACTGGTCAGTTCATTACTCTGATGTTCGTAACTCTGAGGTTCTGCTGTATGTGCCTTTTTTGAAAATCCCACACCCAGTTTCCTTGTGCCCCTTGCTAGCCAGCCAGATAGTCGTATTGTTCATAGAAAAGGGGTGTAGAACACCGGGTGGGTAGGGCCATGACACAGCAGATGGATTTGCTGGGGTGGGCAAGATTAACACACTAACTTTCTATTTCTTGCATTCATCCACTTAATTATAAGCTGTTCAAAGGGAAGAGAGAAACGTACAAACCTCCCTGCATTAATATATATATGGTGAGGGTGTGGGTGTATAATACGTTTATATCAGTGGGTTTCAACCTTTTTTAATTTGCAGACCCCAATAAAATATTGACTGGATGTGCAGACCCCTTGGGAAATCTTCGACTTAGTCTGCGGACGCCCAGTGGTCTGTGGACCACAAGTTGAAAACCACTGGTTTCTATTATATACTCTGCATATATATTAAATATACACGTAGACACAAACATTTTATCTATTTGAAAGGAATGTTTGTACATATTATATTAAATATATGCACATACACATATCTTATATATATTTAATGAAGGGAGGCTTATCCAGTTCTCTCTTCCCTTTGAATAGCTGATAATGAAGTGGATGGAAAAATAGAAAATGTTACCGTATTTATACACGCACACAAACTAATTCCCATTTGCTGAATAGGTTGCCTGTCTCGAGTGTATTTAGCCAATTGTTTTTACAATACTTACTGACACAGGTGAGGTACAACCAAGCCCCCTCTATAGGTGCATTCTCTTTCTGTCCATAGTACGAAATCCTAACCTGTGAAGACATTGCCTGGTCACGACCAATTCCAGAAAATGTCCATCTCATGCCATGCTCCTGTTGTCGAACGTGATCTCTTCACTGCCCTCAGAGAGGCGTGATGCCCGATATCTGCTGAGGTTGGGTGATGGGGGTATGGAAACCACCCTCAATAAATCAACTGTAGGACCATCCTGCATGCTCATGGCAGTTGATGATTCAGTGGGGGGGTCATTCATTCAAATAAAAAAACAACTGTCCAACGGGCCTCATTCACGCTAAGGGAAGTTGGGAAAGGTCTTGGCAATGGATTTATACCCCTGGGCAATTGACCAATGGAACAGTGGGTGGGGAAGCCCATTCCATGGAATCCTCTGTGTCGTTTCTGGGCTCATGGCGCATGTGTCCTCAGCTCACGGCAGCGAGCCTCCCGGCCTGGGTTAACAAATTAGGGCTAGCAGGGCTTGCGTTCGTGCTCTAAACATAGCTGTGTGTTCAGTGCTTTGAAGTAGTGGCTTGGCCTGGAGCTTGTGTTCTGAAGTCCACTGCTATTTTTAGAGAATCTGCCGACCCGGGCTGGGAGGCTCTCTGCCCCGGGCTATGCAGACCAGCGGTGCGCAAGCTTTTCCAGTCACACACACACACCCCTTGCCATTCACAGAATTTGTCACCGTCACCATCACCGTCCCCCCCGTTACTTGTAATCTGAAGTAATCCCTTACTTCTGCGCTGCTGCTGATGGCGACGCTGCCTTCAGAGCTGCACAGCCAGAGAGCAGCGGCTGCTGGAGCGGGCATTCATGGGACCCGCGGGATCCCAGTTTCTTTTCGCCCCCCGCCGAACCTCTTGTGCACCACCAAGAGGGCGCCCCCCCCAGTTTGCGCACCACTCATCTAGACAATGCCTATGCACAGTTAATGTCCATTGGGGGTACCATTGCCACAAGTGCATTGCACCAGCCAAGTGAAAGAAGGGTTTTCCCTTCTCTTGCACCAGCTCCTGAGCGTCTACCACCAGACTTTTCAGTCGCTGAATTTCCAGCACGTTAACCCTTCCTCTCTCCATTATTTGGACAACCTCTCTCCCCTTCACACACACCCTTACTCACTTCTATGTCTTTTTGTGGCTGTTAACGACACAGATTTAACTAGGAATCTATTCTTTAGAAGTTGGGTGATCGCTGTGCTTCTGACATACAAGCACTCTGCAACTGAGCCGCATCCTGTAGTTAAAATATCCCCTTTCCTCTGATCCTGCAAAGATTGACCCCATGTTTCCAGGAGTGATCATGTGATACTTTCAAAGCCCAGCAATCCACGCACCTTGCTATCATTGACAGTACTGCTTGGGATGTCCATGGATACTATGACCTCCACCTGAGAATTGAGGGTCCATCTCGATGCACCAGCAGGTTTCTTCACAGCACTAGGGTTGTAGACAACATAGACCCTCACTCCAGAGGTGCCACGGGCATCAAATGACGTGGCACCACTTGGGATGGATCTGGGACAGAAAAGAGCGCTTGGTTACTGTCATAGAATCATAGAATATTAGGGTTGGAAGAGACCTTAGGAGATCACCTAGTCCAACCCCCTACTCAAAGCAGGACCAATCCCCAACTAAATCATCCCAGCCAGGGCTTTGTCAAGCCGGGCCTTAAAAACCTTAAAGGATGGAGATTCCATCACCTCCCTAGGGAACCCATTCCAGTGCTTCACCATCCTTCTAGTGAGACAGTGTTTCCTAATATCCAACCTAGACCTCCCCCACTGCAACTTGAGACCACTGCTCCTTGTTCTGTCATCTGCCAACACTGAGAACAGCCGAGCTCCATCCTCTTTGGAACCCCCCTTCCGGTAGTTGAAGGCGGCTATCAAATCCCCCCTCATTCTTCTCTTCTGCAGACTAAATAACTCTAGTTCCCTCAGCCTCTGCTCGTAAGTCATGTGCCCCAGCCCGCTAATCATTTTCGTTGCCCTCTGCTGGACTCTCTCCAGTTTGTCCACCTCCTTTCTGTAGTGGGGGGCCCAAAACTGGACACAATACTCCAGGTACGGCCTCACCAGTGCCGAATAGAGGAGAATAATCACTTCTCTTGATCTGCTGGCAATGCTCCTACTAATGCAGCCCAATATGCCGTTGGTCTTCTTGGCAACAAGGGCAGACTGCTGACTCATATCCAGCTTCTCGTCCACTGTAATCCCCAGGTCCCTCAGAGTTGTCCCTCTCACTGTTTATGTATACGCATAAAAGCACTAACTAAAGATCCCCATAGACTCAGGAAACTCCCATAGATGCTGTGGGTCATCAGTGAAATTGGCGCAAATTCATTCACGAAGCATTTTGATGTTGCCAAATCTGCATTTATTTTTTGTGTGGAAAAGAAGTTGTCTGAAAAATTTTGCCCAGCTCTAATCCTGACTAAATGGGATTTTTATGATGCTAAAAATTAATGATTGAGATTCTCAGATAAAAGGTGGCATTTAAATGCGAAATCCAGTCCATCTGCAAGCAATAATTATTCTTTGCATGCAGCATATATGGCATGTCATGCTTCCAAAGCACCCTGTGAACATTAATTAACCTATTAACACCTAAATGTGCTGTGGGGAGGCATTTTTGTCTTGCATGTGACTTGCATCCCTCCTTTCTTTTCCCAAAGAAAAGGGATGAAGTTGTAAACATTAACCATAAGAAAAATATTTCAGGGATTTATTCCCTGTTTCCCTTTGCATGAGTATGTCAGTGCCTGAAGCAACTTGTAAAGAAAGAGATTAATCTATCGTCATTCACCCACCTCCAGAATTTTAAATCTACCTATAAACCTGTGTAATAGCTTCTTGCCTTCTGGTGGGTACTGCTGAAGTGTTAATGTCTGATTTATCACATGCTGCCAGAACTAGTACATGGCTTCTGGGGCCACTTTTGGAAGACTGGCAAAGTGCACGTGGGTTTATCGGCATGAAGAAAACAGCCATAGACTTTGTGTGAGTTACTTCCAGGCGTGGTACTTATGTGGTCCCTATCATTGCCGTATCTGAGCGTCTCATAATCTTTCATTGGCTGAGCAAAATGGAGTCTAATGTTCAACTCAATGGTGTTTGTCTGTAATGTGCTAACTTTGGGATGCCACGTCCCATCAACCCCTCACGTTTCAGGGGACATGGGCACACAACTACTGATTTTAATTTAAATGGGACCACTAAGTCACAGGAAATCGGGGCCTCTGGGCTGCCTTGTGCAGCTGGCAGAGAAATCTTTCTGCAGCCCCCTACTGCCGCCTATTAATATCAGAGGCAGCACCTTCATTTGCTGCACGGAGACATTATCTGTAGCCTGGACTTAAGACATAAGAGAGCCTTATAGGGAGGGTTTGTAGTGGGAGAAGTGGGGACCTGATGGGGGCAAGCCAAGGGAAAGGAATAGGGAGGCTGGGACTGGAGGAGTGGACTTGGCAAGGGGGAGCAGGGACCTGCAAAGGAATGAGGGGTTGGGGGAGTAATGATGATTGAAAAAAGCAGGAACCCAGAGGGGCATAGGTGTAGTTTCACTTCTATATTTGGGGGCGGGGGCTCCAATCAGGCCAACAGGACTGCGCGGGGGGGCGGGGGGTGAAGAAATTCCATGCCTGACAATAGGGGCGCCATTTCAGATTCGGGGGGGAGGCAACTTTAACTGTGATTCCAGGAGCTAGTCAGGCAACTGAAAACTCCAGTGTTTTTTGAAGATAACAACTTAGAAATATCTGACAGGAGCACTGTATCTAATTCCTATATCAAGAAAGAAAATTAAATATATATTAGATCCACTCAGCTCTAATACTGACATGTTCTGACATCTTGTGGCAAGTCACTTAAGGGACACTGGTTAGTTTAAAATTGTAATGTCTATTCGTACTCAGATACTCTTATTAAAGCCAGAAGGACCATCATGATCATCTAATGTGACCTCCTGCATGCTGCAGGCCACAGAACCTCACCCTCTGTTCCAGAACTTCGCTCCTCTGATGGTTAGAAACCTTTGCCTAATTTCAAGCCTAAACTTGTTGATGGCCAGTTTATATCCATCTGTTCTGAGGTCCACATTGGTGCTTAATTTTAACTTCTCTCCCTCCCTGGTATTTATCCTTCTGATGTATTTATACAGAGCAATCAGATCTCCCCTCAGCCTTCTATGGGTTAGACTAAACAAGCCAAGCTCTTTGAGTCTCCTCTCATAAAGACAGGTTTCAGAGGAACAGCCGTGTTAGTCTGTATTCGCAAAAAGAAAAGGAGTACTTGTGGCACCTTAGAGACTAACCAATTTATGAGCATGAGCTTTCGTGAGCTACAGCTCACTTCATCAGATGTTTACCGTGGAAACTGCAGCAGACTTTATATACACACAGAAATCATGAAACAATACCTCCTCCCATCCCACTGTCCTGCTGGTAATAGCTTATCTAAAGTGATCAACAGGTGGGCCATTTCCAGCACAAATCCAGGTTTTCTCACCCTCCACCCCCCCACACAAATTCACTCTCCTGCTGGTGCTAGCCCATCCAAAGTGACAACTCTTTATATAATCAAGTCGGGCTATTTCCTGCATAGATCAAGGTTTTCTCACATCCCCCCCACCCCCATACACACACAAACTCACTCTCCTGCTGGTAATAGTTAGTCTCTAAGGTGCCACAAGTACTCCTTTCCTCTCATAAAGTAGGTTTTCCATTCCCCAGATCATCCTCGTAGCCCTTCTCTGCACCGGTTCCAGTTTGAATTTATCTTTCTTAAACATGGGAGACCAGAACTGCACACAGTATTCCCGATGAGGTCTCACCAGTGCCTTGTATAATGGTACTAACACGTCCCTGTCTCTACCCGAAATACCTCACCTGATACATCCTAGGACTGTGTTAGCTTTTTTTCACAGCCACATTACGTTGATGGCTCATAGCTAGCCTTTGGTCAACCAATACACCCACCTCTTTCTCCTCCACTGTCACTTCCAACTGATAAGTCCCCAGTTTATAGCAAACATTCTTATTGTTAGTCCCTAAATGCAGGACCTTGCACTTTACACTATTAAATATCATCCCATTTCTGTTACTCCAGTTTCAAGGTCATCCAGATCTTCTTGTATGATATTCCAGTCCTCCTTGGCATTGGCAATATCTCCGAACTTTGTGTCATCTGCAAATTTTATTAGCACACGCCCACTTTTTGTGCCAAGGAATAAACTGTTAGATAAGGTTGGTCCCAAGACCGATCCCTGAGGAACTCCACTAGTAAGTTTCCTCCAGCCTAACAGTTCACCTTTCAGTATGACCTGTTGTAGTCTCCCCTTTAACCAGTCCTTATCCACCTTTCAATTCTCATATTAATTCCCATCTTCTCCAATTTAACTAATAATTTCCCATGCATCCAATGAAGTGAGCTGTAGCTCACAAAAGCTTATGCTCGAATAAATTGGTTAGTCTCTAAGGTGCCACAAGTCCTCCTTTTCTTTTTGCAGATACAGACTAACAGGGCTGCTACTCTGAATCATGTGGAACGGTATCAGATGCCTTACTGAAATCCAGGGAGATTAGATCTGCTGCATTTCCTTTGTCTAAACAATCAGTTATCATCTCAAAGAAAGGTAACTTTCGTTATTACCTCTTGAATACAACAATTGTAAGCTACTTACTTTTTGCAGTTCACCAAGCTTGGAACAGCTCATTTAACTTTAGGAAACACCCTCACAGCCCTTTCTTATCTTAATCACCAGTTAATCACTCTATTTATAAACAAAATTCTGACTCCCTGCCTCAAGGGCATAAACTGGGAGCAGCTCCTGACAAGTCTCTTGTCTCCTCTGCAGAACTCTTACATTGCACACTCAGGCTGCCTGTCTGAGGCTTGCAGTTTGGAGAGGCAATGCCCTCCCATGCCCCCCCAAACTCCACCTATGGGGCGAATTGGGTGGATGGGCAGGCATGGAAGCGGGGACCCAGAGTGAGGGAGGGGAAAGCCCCCTGGGGGGAAAGAGGATGGGAAAGTGGGGTTGCATCCTATTACATCTTATTCAAGCTGGTTGAAATTTTGGTTTGAAGCAATTTTTCAGCAAAATACGGCCCTTTCCCCAGACCAAAAACATTAAACAAAATTTCACAAATGTTCTAGATTTTTGTCAAAACTCAAAATTTTAAATTGCCTGATTTTGATTTTTTAACCCTCCCCCCTTCCTTTTGATCCTTTTATGCCTTTCACAAGGTTAGAGAAAGTGTGAAAAGTTACAGAGTAGCCAATGGAAAGCGGTGGGGGGAGGGATGAAAAAATGGAAGAAAGAATCTGGAATGTCATTCATTTAATCCTCTACAGCAAACAGGGAAAGATTAAGAATGAGCTCTCAATATAAAATTGGTTAGTCTCTAAGGTGCCACAAGTACTCCTTTTCTTTTTGCGAATACAGACTAACACGGCTGTTCCTCTGAAACCATTCATTTAATTGCATTCAACAGCACCAATGAGAAAGGGAGGGCC